TCAGTTTTATTCATGCGATGTATACATATATACATAGAGTGATAATGATTATGATAGACAATCAGGTATAATATCATTTACTCCTGAAATTTTATAAAGCCAAAAGGATTGGATCTAATAGTTTGTACAGGTAAACTCACTCGTTTGGAATCATATCCAGTTGACAATTATACTAAAGACAAGTATACGGATGACATAATGCTTTTAAAGTTAGTATTAAATGTTATATATAAGAATCAAAATGTAATTCTGATGATATCATAATTAGAAGTATACAGATGAATTCACCTAGACATTTCTAACAGCCAAAGAAGAAATTGTAAATATTCAATCGATAATAAATGCGAAAAAAAAAATTGTCAAACAACAAATATGAATGAGTAATTAATAGAAGAAGATAAAGTGAAATGAAATATAAATATATTTTAAATGAATGAATTAATTAGTTAATATAACAATTGGAATTATAATGAATGAAATAATTTGAAATAAATAAATTCATTCATTAACTAATAATTTTTACTACACAAAATGGTTTTTATTGGAAAAAAAGAAGAAAAGAAAAAATTATAAAAGATCAAAAGAAATGGCTGCAAACAAAAATTATTCAATATCGGAAATGAGAAGAGAGGTGGAAAAAAAAGGACAGAATTAAAAAACGAGTTGCTATAAATGATTGTCATCATTTCCCATATGATCAAATGATTCGATCAAAAACTAAATCATTTGATCAATTGTTATCGAAATGAAAAAAAAAAAAAAAACTACGTCCAATTTTAAAGTGAAGAAAATTTAATGGTAACTGCATCATTTATTTTTTTTTTCCTAATTCAAATAATTTTAAAGGAGTTATTGTCCTATCATAAAATCCATTCGTCGTTTTTCCTTTTTTTTTTTTATTTTAACTGGTTTCCCTATTTAATTACTTAATATAATTGGAAACTTTTATAGAATAATTCATACTGTACTTACTTAATTTCGTTATAAAATAATTCATACTGTACTTACTTAATTTCGTTACTTGAAAAGTTTCCGTAGAAGGAAAAAGTTATAACAATTCTGATATCGTAATTTGTTTAAATTATCCGATTAAAATTTAGTGTTATGTTAAAATAGAACAGAAGATAAGGAAAGTGCAATCTTTATTTTTGCTATTCAGGAATGAAAAAAAAAAAAGTACAAATGTCAAAGGTTGAAACTGTCACATTAAGTTATAATTAATTCCCAAAGATAATAATGTGAAAATTTTTGGTGAAAAATCATCTATAGCTAACTTTCAAGAAATATCATCAAAGATTTAATTTCTGCTTTCTCGTCATCAATTACTTTACTAAGAAAATAAGGCAAAAAAAAACAATTGATTGACCACGAGTCAGTGCTAAATAATCAATTAATTGACCAATTTTTTTACTGATATAAAAAAGATCATAATTACTGATTAAAACAATTACTGATATAAAAACGATCACAATTACTGATATAAAAACCATCATAATTACTGATTAAAACAATTACTGATATAAAAACGATCACAATTACTGATATAAAAACGATCATAACTAACTGACTAAAA